GCCAGGGCCTCATCTTAACCCTGCTTCCCAATGATGTCCCATTTCCAACAAGGTCCTAGGGGTGAGCACCTCAACACAGCAGACACAACTCAACCCGTCCAATCAGAATAGATGCTTCTGGTTTACCGGGTCTCCCTTTAATCCCTAATAAAGATTGGGTGGGCAAGGCCTTCATTATTAAAAGCCACTGACCTCTGATGCCCCTATGTGTCCTTAGGAGGCAGTGCAGCCCAAGGGTATCCTGACAGGCTGCCTCATCTCTCAGCCTGAGTGACGTCAACACCCCAACAGCTCAAGCAGTCCCCAGCCCTGGTGGCCAGCAGGATGCAGTTGGCATGGGACCCAGGTGCCGTCATGTGACCTGGCATCCCATGAGCAAGTGTGCACAGCCTGGTGAGAGCTGTCTTCCACACCTGCCTTCCTGACATCAGTCACCCCACCTGCCCTGTGCAGTAACTGATTTGGCCAATCAGTTGGTCCAGTTTACTGTCTGTTAAAAGTTGGCCTTTTAAAACTCCTTAGAAAGTTACAGCAACTCAGACTGGAGGGACTGGCAGGGCCCTGGGCCAGCTCCAGGCCCTCTGGGCTGTACACTGACCACATCTCCACCTTCATCCTTTTGTGATGGACCCCTCCGTCTTGCTGCCCACCTCTTGGGCACAGGCACACAGGCTCCCTGCTGGCCCCCCTCCTTTGGCTTTCTCTGGGTCTAGCATGGAGAGGCACTGGGGATGGTGATGCAGGCCTTCCCCTGCCCAGAGGTGCCCCCGACTCCGCGTGCCAAGCTCCCTCTGGATGGATCCCCATTTCCACTGTGTGCAAAGGACAGTGGTGGCAGCCAGGCCTGTGCTCTGTGGGGATCCTTCTCCCTGTCTCCTGGCACTAGCTTCCCAGAGTTAAAGCAGCAGGGAACTTGAGAAGAGAAAAATGCTTCTAACACACCGATTGGGAAGTCAAAATGCAAACTGGTCCACTAGAAGCAGCTGAGCTGTTAAAACTTCACTGTTTAACAGGATTTGTTACAACTATCGAAAGAGGGTTTTTTGAGTATTTTAGATAACGAGGCAGACTAGGTTTGCCTGTTGAACACCTAGCACCCAGCATATTGGCTTTCACCTGGCCTGGCACTGACACTCTCTGGAACTTCTTCCACTGAGAGCGCTATGGGGCAGATGTGTCCAACGCTGGGTCCCTCTCTTACTTCCAAATCTCCCGGCCAGGAGGGACCAGGACAGACCTCATGGCTTGCAGGAGCAGAGGTTCTGTGAATTCAGCCTTGCCTCACTCACCCAAGCAAGGGGCTCCCCTCTCAGGGGGGCCTTCCTAGGCCTAGACCCCCACTCCACCCGCAAGAGAAAAGGCCTTTGAGGATGCACAGTTGGGTGCCAACAGTTGGGTGCATTTGTGACAGAGACCACAGCTCTGCAGGAAGGTTCAGGGCCAAGTAGCCCTGTTCCCCAAGGCTGGGCCTCTTCCTTCACATGTGGGTCCCTGGTCTACAATGCTACCTCCCTGTGAGGTGGTGACAAGACTAGTTCATGATACTCGGGCCCTCTGGGGGTGTCCTCCGTGTCTCCCTTACCCCAAACAGCGGCTGGCCAGTCTGCAGTGGCCTGGCTGACCTCAGGCTGCATTATGGCCACCAATTCACTGTACTCAGCTGGCAGGTACCTGATGGCTTGCGGTTTGGCAGTGAATCTTTTGGAAGGAATAAGATATACTTTTGTCCCCTCTTTGGTCACCTGCTGCTGAGCATGCGCAGAAGGCCTGGAAGCAAAATGCCACAGCGCAGGAACAGGGGCTGGAAATGTTCCTGCCTCCCTGTTCCATGCCATTCCTCCTTACTGCATGGAGAACTTTGCAGTGCTGTAAAGGTAACTTCTGGGGTTAAGTGTGTGTGAAACCGAATTTCACAGCAGGAAGAGATAATCTAAATGTAAGATGAACATCTATAATAGGGAGCAAATAATACAGATACGCTGCAGTATCCATCTCTCATTAACTGTCAAAAGTGATACAGTCTTATTTATCACCGGTAAAGTCTGACTTGAACCTGGTATGCAAGAGCCCTCAAGAAGCAAGCCCCTTTGGATGGAAAAGATGCATTTTTGTTCTGGAAAGCACAAGTTTTCCTTTGAGATGCACCTGGAATCACTGATTCATCGGACAAGGTCCCAGTGGTTGGTCTTCTCCAACACTTGGGAACAAGAGCTGGCTTCCCCAGAGTGAGCATGGGAAACTGTTCAGTGTGCAGGGCTGCAGAACCATCCAAAACTCCTACATATGTGAAATCGTATGCTGTATGCTGTGGTGGACCAGGCCTGTGATTCCAGCACTCTGGGAGGCTGAGGCAGAAGGCTTGTAGGTTCCAGCTCAGTCTAAGAAGCATAGTGAAAGTCTATCTCAAAGTAAAAAAGGCTGGGGATTTCTTTCAGGGCAAAGGCTGAAAAAAGGACTGGAAAAAAAGTCATACTCTCGAAAAAACATGAAGCATGATGCTGAGTGTTTTGATAACTTCTGCTATGTTAAATTTCCAGACATTCAGATGTTTAAGAAAATAAAATTATATTGGAATAGACTCAACAGGAAAGGGCCTTTTAAGACCTTTAGAAATAGGATACAAAGAGCAGAGAGAAGCAGACTGTCGCTTGCTGTGTGTGTGGTGCTGGGGGAGAAAACCCACCTCTGCACTACACCACAGCACTGTGGGTGCCTTTGTGACCCTCACCCATGGGCAGCAAAGGGTTGATTATTACGTCCCTTCCACGTGTTGGCATGATAGCAGGCCTGGTGACATCACAGACCAGGTCATGAAGGTCAGAGAGTAAAAGTGACAATGAATACGGCAAGTGACATAAAAAGCTATGTTCACGTATCCGTGACTGCAGGATGCTTAGTTTACAAAAATATTGCCTTACTCTTGTCCTGGGTGCCTTTTAAGGACAATTCCTCCAGCCAAAATATTGCACTGATTGATGGAGTCGCTGTAAGGATACTGGACATGAGACACCTCATGGCTACACACTCAAATGTCCTGGTTTTTAATGTTGAAGAAACTGCAATTCCTTTCCGCATGGTGCTGGACTGTCCCAGTATGGAGGCCCAAGGACCGGTCTTTGTTCCTATTTCAGGGGACAGTGGCATTCACTGGACAGGGACCCAGAGGCTGAGTTCCAGCCAGTTCTATTACCGGCTACTTGGACACTTCCCTATCCTGTCTGAGTCACTTCCTTTTCTGAAAATTATAGGTTCTTTCTAGAGTATCTCCAAATTCCCCTTAAGCAAAGAGTTCTGAGTTTTTATTCCAAAGATGAAAGTTTACCTGCGAACACTTGCAGCTATGGAAGACTTTGGTGATCTAGCATCAGAATAATTAAAGAAATATACCTTTACTTAAGAGATGCGTAATCATTTTTCCAGGTCCTGAATTACGGTCATGTTAATAAGCTTGCTGTAGAATAATTTTTCAGCAGTACAAACTGTTGCCCATGAACAGCCAGAGGACTGTCCTTGTGCCCGATGTGGCCAAGCTTTCCACTGTCTGTGACTAGCTGTGGGAAACCGTCTACACAGCGAGGGAAGACAGAAGAGGAAACCTCCAGCCAAGAGCTGCTGGGTTTTTGGGCCTGCAAGAGCCAAGTCACAGAACCTGGCTTTGGACTCAACTCGACTTTTAATTCCAAAAGCTGACGTCTGCTCTGGAATAGAAGTGTCTCTGTTTTTTCCTAAAATACTCTTTTAAACTGTTTCCGAGATGTTCAGTGTTTTGTTAATACTGTAGGGAACCATGGAAAGACTTGTCCACCACAGAGCGACAGGATGCCCATAAAGGAAGAGGTTCGCCTGGGGACTCCTGCAGCCCACCAAGCTGAATGGTTCTTCTGCACTGGAAAGGATAAAGCTACTGTGTTCTGTTCACGTGCATTGAAGGCTTTACCTAGCCGTGGGCCGGTTAGTTATGAGGACCACCGCACATCCTGGCATTTCTGTAGGACACTGATGCTATATATGTGAATGGAAATGTCCTATGGCACCTAGTAGGACAGGAGTGGCCACAGCAACAGACAAGGGAGACGAGTGGCCATAATTCAGCCGAGTATAGTGCGCCCGCTCATTTCCCAGTGCTGGGAGGCTGAGGCAGGAGGACTGCACTTGAGCCCAGCCTAAGCAATTTAGCAAGACTCTGGCTCAAAAGGGTCTGAGTTTCATCTCTAGAGTGGCACAACAAAGTAAGACCAAAAATCCCATAATTCTTTTCATCCCCTTTTATCTCTGTTTTTGTAACTCAAAGGGCACAGTCTGCCCTCTAAGGTTGCCTGTAATGGCGGGTTTTCCTGCTGCTGTGGACGTACGTTATAAACCATCTCATGTGCTATGCAGATATTCTTTCTATACATTTCAACACGATCTCATGTGTGAGACTGCCCGTGGGGCCAAGGCATGTGCGCTGCCTATTCACGGATGTAATCCAGACACCATCCGGTGCCGATGACTGCCCAGGATCGCCCACAGTGCCTCATAGCTGTGTCCTCAGCAGAGAGACAGGCTTGGGATCCAGCAGAGGCCGGATACACCAGGACAAGTAAGTTGGCTGCGTCAGCATAACGTCATTAGGAAAGCACCTTTTCCAGGGAAACTGAAATAACACCAATTCCATTTGGGGCAGGGCTGGCAGTGGGTAAAAAGCTGATGCTGGATGTTCAGAAAACGGCTTGGAAATCCCTTAGCAAGATGAGAAAGATATTAAATTAGAGGCATCCTGAGGCATCCTGGGAGCAGATGTGTTCCCCCTAATCACAAGGACCTCCTGGAGCAGCTGTCTTCACATTTGCAGAAGGATGTACGTCGAAGAGGTTGTTAATGAATCAAACATAAGAACACATTATAGACTATAAGACTCCTCCCCTTAAAACAGCAATTTACCCCTTCAGAGAGAGAGACAGAAAGACAGACAGACAGACAGAGAAGGAGGCAGGGAGGTGGCCACCTGGCCCCCTTACCGTCAGTGACAAGGCCATGCACACAAACGTGAACCTCTTGATGTGCGCTGGGGTGACCGTGTTGCTCGTGTTCGCCAGCTTGTTGCTGGGGTTATTCTGGGGAGAGAGAATCGCAGTGACCATGGGCTCCGGTAGCCCCAGCTGACCCCCTGGAATCTCAAAGAGATCTTTTCTGTGATGTGCCGCAGTGTGGGCACTACAGGACAGCGTGGAGGACAGCCATCACACTGGGGCTCTGGGACGGCTGTCGATGCCTACACAGGGATGTGCACCAGCCCCTGGGCTGGGTCTGTCCTTGCTCTTGGCACTGGGCTGGCTGCTCGCCCTGCCCAGGGCCTTGGCCCTGGAGCGTGTGGTCACTGTGCCACCAGGGTCATCTTGCTGAATGCCAAGCCCTGCTCGGGGACCTCTGCTGCTCCTCTCTTCCTCAGCAGGTGGACTTCAGTTGTTCTGAGCATTCAAGGCCTTGCTCGAATGGCCCAGATGCATGTCCCTGTATAGTTTCTCCACATGTGTCTTGCTCACCCCCAGCACATGGGTGCTTCTGCTCCTCCTCCTGCTTCTGGGGTTCCTGATCCCCAGGCACGAGTGTCCTCAAGGCCAATCACCTTCACAGCCTGCCTGTGACCTCCAATTTCTACCTCTTTCTGAGCCTCAATTCTGATGACCTTGGGGACAGCACATATCTTCAAACACCCCCCTTCCCCCAGAGGCTGTGCCTTCCGAGATCAAGTGTCATATCCGCCCATCTCTTGTGTTCTGGGCTCCCAGACAGCCCCTGCTACAATGGTAGGAAGCCAGGCCTTCAGCTGGCTGGGATGTCCTTTTGACGATCACTAATCTGAGGCTTGCTGAGGTTCTCTGGGTCCCACTGCCACAGAGCCTCACCCCATCCCACACACCTGGTACCACGGCCAGGAAAACCACCAGGGAGAAGAACCCCTGCCTCATTATGGATCCAATTAGCCCAGAGCAGACAAACGAAAACAAGCTCACCACCTGCTTGCATGCCCAGGCTAATAGGACACTTGTGCGTGCAGCTACCCGGGGTCCTGCTGGGAAGGACAGCTATGTCCCTCAGTGCGGAGGCTGGAGGCTCCGGAATCTCTCCCACACCTTCCCCTCGAGGATGCCACTTCTTACTCCTGCTCTCTGATGCACAGCTGCCTTTCTCACTAACAGGCGTTGCCAAAGAGAGGCCCACGCTGGGCTCTCTGTCTCGGTCCATCCCAGGGTACCCAGGGTACCCAGGTGGTGTGAGGTGGGGCCACCCTGACAAATGCAGCCAACCTCGAAAAACCCACCTGCGCTGCTGAGTGAGGCCCCCTGTGGGGACGCCTGCGTGTTTGCAGTAAATGCCAGCATCACTAGGTCAGCATGGCACTCCCTTCTTGGCTGGTCGGTATGCCCCAAACCACACCCTTCACAGGTGAGCACGGAACAGGGCAGACTGCACCAGGGAGAGCTCTCGGTTCATGTTTAACTAGAATCTCCACCACCAGGCACTGAATTACTTTAATGTTTTTATCCTGGAACCCACAAAGAGGATGAGAACTTGGACAGTCAGGCGACACACTCTGGAAGCCTGCACAGGGTCTGAGAGTCCCCTTGCTGGCTTGGTGTTGCTCACTGGCAAGTATGGACACAAAGGGTGAGGTTTTAAAAGGATTCTGAGTAACCTGAGTTTCTGGTACGCTCGTTAAAGGAATTTTTCGTAACTTCTAACCTCTATAATTAGCAATAAAACAGTGTTTTTCTTGGATGCTCCTATTGAAGCCATACAGTGCGGTAATGTTAGGATTTATTATTTCAAGGTGGCCCAAACCAATTTCAGATGGGACTTGTCTAGCCAAGAGGTTTTTACCTTTCAGCACCTGCTCTTGTCAGCACTTGCATTATATAATCTAATTCTCCAGAGCTAGAGCCAAAATCTAAAAGGACTTCCATCCAGTTTGGTTTTCTAGGGTTTACCTCCTTATGTATGTTCCTTGACAGGAAAATAGTGCTTCCTATCTGAAGACTGCCCTCCCCCATCTCTATCTCTGTGTCTCTTTGCGACTCTGGGCCCTGGCTTCTGCAGTCAGCATTTCTACGGAGAACCTTTGCACCCCGGTGTCCAGGTGACAGGTGCTAGCAGGCAGATGGCTAAGGAGGTCCACACCCACTTCCTGAGAGGGAGGGTGAGAGACTGGGGGGGGGGGGGAGTCCTTGACACAGGGAGCAAGGTTGGGGTGTAAGGGTGCACTTCCCAAACCTCACCTGCAGGTGAAGAGGTGCAGGTCAGAAGTGGGTGGTTACATGAAGGAAAGGGGCCACCGCAGCATGTGGCCTGGCCAGGGTGGCTTCCCGGAGCTCTGGCCTTTGGGAAGTTGAGGAGAGGGTGGGGGAAGGTGGCTGTTCCAAGCCCCAACCCCTGTTCTGCCAGAGCTGACTTGCCGGGGGTCCCCTGACCTGCTGGGGACCACCCCCCATCTGCTGAGGGCTTTTCCTCTCTTTCCTTCACAGGGCTCTTTGCGGGGTAAGAGAAAATGGTATTTGTAAGAGCCCTGAACCCATGCTATGGAGATTTAAGGCAAAACAACACATATTAAGGTCCAAATGGCAGGCTGTTGGCTTCTTTTCCATTAAAACATTGAGTGCTGCTTTTGGGTAGGTTGTGTTACCATTTGTTTTAGGATAAAAGCCAATAGGGTCCAACAATGGAGCTGCAGTGAAGCAGACACCTACTGAATGGCAAACATCTCAACCTCGCCATGGGTAACAGATCACAACAGTTACGTGCCTGCGTCGCTGGGACCAGCCGCTGGGGGAGGACAAGGACCGAGCTGCTGCCTACGAGGCTTTCAGCTGGAGTGAGTCTGCCACATCGGACCCACGCTGATGGTCCTGCTGCGTGGACCATGTGCGCGAGGTGGAACCCTTACCACATACAGCGTTGTTCTGCACCTCAGCCATCTGGTGTAAGGCAGTAAAGCACTAGTTGAACTTAAAAAAATAAGCTACAGGAACAAAATCCAACATACGCAATGTTTTTCAGAGTTTGTCTTGGGGCAAGGATATAGCTCAGTGGCACAGTGCCTGCCTGGCAAGTGTGAGGTCCTGAGTTTGATTCCCGGTACCAAAAAACCCAAAAAGTTTCTCTTTCCTTTGTAACCATGTAAATTGTCAATAGGAATCACCTAAAAAATGGCAAGTGGAATATGTGGTTTGGAAAGTATTACAGGCTTGCCATGGAGCTAAAGTGCAACCTGCCATGGCATTTTCAGAGGAAAATGTCCCCCAGTTACCTTCAACAACCTCTATCCTCTTCGGTTAATCTTACAAAAGGAGGTGGGCCCCAGAAGCAGCCCAGCGTGCCTCTGGAGACCTCTGTCTATCAAATGGTGATTTTAAAGAGCGTGTTTCTGACACTGTGACCCACAGGTCTCACCTTGTCAAAAGCAGGATACACAGCTCGGATTTCTGTCAACCAGCCGTATGGCATGTGGCCCACAGGGTATGTGGCTGTCAAAATTGCCACAGCCTGCAAGAGAAGAGCAGGTAACATTAGGGTGGACATGGGCAGAGAGTCCTCCAGTCACTGCCATGCTGTGTGACAGGTCTGGTGGCAGCCAGGTGACCGGCTTCAGCCAGCACAGGACTGGCCAGAGTGGAGATGACACGGGCAGGTGTCACTATTACAGGAACCCAGGGGGAAGCCAAGATTTCAACCGTGGTTCTTTGGAATCTGTGCTCTTTCACTGTATCAAAGGGAACCCTCCCGGCTGGCCCATTCTCTGCCTCAGAACAAAGCTGGGGGTCCTCGCGGTGTGCACCCCTCCATTTCTATCTTTTGAGGTGGCTGATGCTATACATCTGTTGATGGCTTTGTGCCTCTTTCTCTTTCCAGCTCAGCTCATTCCAGGCTGCTCAGTCGGTATGGTCTGAGTTAAAATTTAATTTAATAAAGCTAATGAATGTTTCATCCAGCTGTCCATGCGTTTCCAGGAAAACGAGCTTCTTCCCTTTTGTGCATGAGAAGGAAGATGAAAACCTAGTGTTCTCACACTGCACCCTGGCAGTGTTCAGCTCTTTAACTCTTTAGTCAAGGAGGAAGACAGTTTCATCTACTTTAAAGGATGAGGGGCAGCGCCCAGGGAGCCAAGCACATGAAGGCCCCAGCTGTGTGAAGAAACTGGGGTGCAGAGCAAAAATGAGAGGGCGATGGGAAGTGAGGACCCAGCCTCCCCCTCGTCATTTACCAGCTGCTCGGGGCATGGACCTCCTTGGGGCCTCCCTTTCTGTTCCGCCAGAAGAATGGGGAGAATGAGGCCCATGCTGGGGGGATGACAGAGCCCAGGACATGCACACAGTGCCTGACGCATCGGCGGAGGGTTCACAAAGCTCAGCCCTGCACTCATACACTGTGCCCCTACACCCCTGCTGATAGCTTCGAAATGGCACTAATACAAGATCTGTCCCTTTTCGTTCGTTTGTTTTAAGGTGAAGGTAGAATTGTAGCACAAAGATCGTGGGCATCCCATGCTTTTGACTGGAAAACCTTATATCTTCAAGGCCAAAAAAAGCTGCTGGGTTCCCGAAGCCACCCGAGATCATATCCATGATTCCAAAAACAAACTTAGGAATAAACTGAGGCATGAGAAAGCATTCCGCTTTTGATTTACAGGCTACTGCATCCCTGCCAACAGGAGCTGCTTCCTAGGACATGGAAACTGGCACGATGCTCCTGGCTGCGGACCTGCTGATGGCGCAGTCCAGGGCTCGGCCGTTCTTCGCAAAGCCACGTGTAAACAGGAGGCCTTAAGGAGCAGCCTGAGCCCTCCTGCAGGACCAGCGGTGCCAGATGCTGAGTTAATCCTCCAAGAGGCAGTGGAAGAGGAAACAAGTGAGGTCATCTATTTGTTCATACCCAACTTGAAAGGGGGAAAAAGTGAGTCAACCCGTTCTTTGGAGGAGCTGCCGGTTTCCAGATACACTGCTTGGGTTATGAGTGAGTACAGGGACTGTCATTTGGAGAGGCAGAGTGCCAAACAGTGCCTTGAGTCCTGGAGGGTTGGATAGCCTGGGCGGGGTGACGATGGCAAGCAGGTGACAATGGGTTGTGTCAAAACAGAGGCCCTGTTCCCTCTGGGCACCGTCACTTCTGCCCCTGCATGGCATGTTCCACTGTCCTGTGCAACTCCAGTGAAGAGGCCCCACATGGTCGTCATGGAGACACAGCAAAGCCCTGGCGTGGAGTTGGAGCCTGGATTCTCACTAGCTCAGCTCTCAGGTGGCCCTGTCCCTTGGATACTTCCTTTCTGGGCCTCCATGAGAGGGAGTAATATAATGTAAAATCACATGACTCTCAATTACTGACTGAGCTCCTCCGGCTTCCCAGTGTGACCACGTCACATAGTTTAGAACTGCAGAATCGCCTGAGTCCTCAAGATGAGCTAGAAACAAGTGTGAGCCCCCACATAGGCTATGACAATATTCCCCCCAAATCACCCTACCTCTGTAGCTGCAGAACTGCCCCCGAGGTCCCGGGAGACGAAGAGGTTGACGATGGGTCTGCTGATCCTCTGCGTGGCCAGGATCAGAGCCAAAGGCCACCAGAAGCTCAGCATCTTTCTGATTGTTGCATCTCCCTGCATTAAGAAATGAAGACAGGAAGTTCACTAAGCTCTAGACATAGAATAGAAAAAACCCCTCAGAATTACAGCTTCTGCTCTTTATGCTACTCATGTCAGTTCACCACACTTAGCAGTAATACACGGAAAAGCCTTCATAGACAGCCACGTTGCATTAAAATAAAATGTACAGCCTTATTAGAAATCCATTCAGACAGCTGCAGCTAGTGTGAAGTGAAAGCACGCTGAAGTTTGATGGATCCCAACTGCTGGTTTCCATACAGAGAATCTCTAGCTGAGGCAGAACCCGGCTTCACAGCCTGAGAAACGCATCTGAAATTAGGCCTTGTTTATATTATCACGGTGACTGGCGAGGAGCCACGTCGGTGGGAGGTAAGTCTCAGAAATAAAAAGAATTATAATCTATTTTGGAATCAGTCAGCATATCTAAATGTGCCTAATTATTTCAGCACTGTTTAAATTGACTACAGAGGTTCTGCCTCTCGCAGGTTTCACAGTAAGTCATATCGTCTGTTCAGAAGCATAAATAAAATCAAAGCCGGGTAAAGAACGAGCCGTTTCTTAAGACCTCTGCAGCCAAGGCGGATGCTACCTTTAAGGCCTGGCTTTTGTTGCACAATTTTGGTTTTGATTCTTCCAGAGGGTGAGAGTTGCATCATGGAACCATCTTGGCCACTTTAATTTATTTCCCTTTGCTCGTGGCTGAATGCTGAGAGACCGGCAGTTACTGTTGAGACTAATCTGATGAGATTCACCTCGTGGTGGAAATAACCAGGTTGGGTTCCATTGAAGGCTTTACCTTGGATGGAGGTAAGCAGTCAACCTGATTACTACTTGGACTGAAAGTACTGTGTGGTCAAACTCACGCCTGCCTCATAGTTATCTGGAGAAAAACCCAAAGAGGTCTACAGCTATGGGTTGGAAAAATTACACGCACAGCAATCAGACACTATTCGTATTTATGGTCGACCAAATGTTTGGTAAAAGGTTCTATGTCTGACTTTCTTCTTACTCAGTTTTCAAGGCACAGGCTAGACCCAGCCTCCATCAGAGCTTCCCAGGCCGTGTGTCTGTGCTCTTTCTCTCAGGCTCGGAGGCTCTGATGCCTCCCTGCAGGTAGTGCTGTCTCAGTCTAGCTGTGGCCTCTGTGTTGGTCTTATCGGCCATGTGGGCCATAAAACTGCTTGAAGACAGAGACTGGTTCTCAACCTTTTCTGTCATTCCATGGTATGTAATGCCAGATCTGATTGGTCCCTGGGAGGCAGGCACCTGAATAAAAGACTGGGATTGGCCAATGCAAAAAGAAGAGAAAGCCTGGATCCTTGTTATGAAGTGAAAAGTAATAAAACTATAGGTTCTGTGGGTCCCAAAACTTTCTTGAATATAGTTTAATTTATAGCAGTGGGGAGAGGGGAAGCAGAAGGGGGGCTGGTGAATGGGGAGAGAAAAACGTATCTATCCTTGGCTTAAAGGGATGCACCATGTCTGTCTCCCCACATGGCAACGAGGAGGCTGGACAGTGACCTCTAAGATCCTGTCCATCTCCAGTGCTCATCAACTCTCCTACTTCCCTTCCCTGCAGGCATCAGCCAGCCTGAGCTGGGGGTACAGCACTGCAGAGCACAAGCTCATGACACTGAGCTCTCATCTCACACGGGGTGCAAGGGCAGCTCGTGCCCTCAGTCCTACCCAGACAATGACAACGACGACGACGTACCCCCAGCTCGGGCCCGCTCCGGTCGGGGATGATGTCGTGGATGTTCCTGTAGTAGCCCAGGCACAGCGTGGTGCAGCGCACGAGCGCACCCATGTACAGGGACAGGATGGGGATGAGCAGCGGCTCCCGGCATTCCAGGTGGCTGTGGAGCAAAATGGCTACAAAAACGACCTGCAAGAGAAGAGGGTGGGGCGGGTCAGCAGAAGGAGGGGGCCTGGCTCACACAGGCACAGGTGCCCCTCTGACCCCGGGGAGCCTGGACCTTGATGAGGAGGACTCGATGGGGCTGGGAGTGATACTGCTCTCGGGGACCTGTGCAGAAACACACCCGTCAGCCACCATTTAGACTCCGTTAAGGCGACTGCACAGCTGGTTAAGGTTTGCACCTAAGAAACATCTAGAAGCTTTGGCCTCCCTGCCTCCTTCCCTGGTAGCAGCAGAGCTTCCCCGTCTCAAGGCCGGACACTGTGTCGAAGGTCCAAGGACAAGTGCAGGTGAACACTTATAGGACGGAAGTCATCAAATGTGCTGTCCATATTGTCACCTGAATTATTTTATGGCAACCGAAATTAAAATCTAAAATATTAACTTCTGGAAGTGGGACGCATTGAAGTGAGCAGAATCAGGACAGACTGAGATCCTAATAAAATGTCCACCTCCATTCAACAGTACAGTCACCACAGTGAATTTCACCACGTGTGACCCTCTGGGTGCTGTAGAGATCAGGAGTCCAGAGGCCTCTGGGGAACCCTCATAAAGAAGGTTCTGGAAGTGTCCTGAGTGCAAAGAGAGTCCCCGGGCAGGGGGATCCTCCCGAGAAGCAACTTTCATGGCCAAATGTCCACAGAAAACTGGGCATTTCAGATACATCACTGCAGGATCCTGACCCAAGCGTTACCCCAAGGTTCTGTTATTGAGACACAGCAGACAGAAGGTCATGACAGGAGCCTGGGCAGGGTAGGGACAACTTGGGGCAGTGCCCACACTCATGCATGGTCCCACACATTCGCTCAGGCCACTGTGGAGCTCAGTGATGGTAGTAAGGCTGCCCATGGCCATCTCTATGCTTGCTGCTCCCAAGTGGACGGGCTAGAGGAGGCTTGCTGAGACACACTGCACGTGCAGCAGGAGGCTGGGACCTGGCGCCCATTTATGTTTTTAATTAAAGGTGTTCCCCTTGTGTGCATACTCAGAGTAAGTATGCCTTCAGCCAGCTACACGTCACCCGAGCCCAGACCTACACTGTAACCCAAGAGGGTGATGTTTAAAGGCTGGAAACTGATCATGAACAAAGAGAGCATGTGAAGACTGATTGGGCCTCTGCTAAGCCCTTGGAAGGCACCTGGAACCCGCAGGATGGCTCTGCAAGATGCTAGCTGGACAGGCAAGATGCAAGTGGAGGACCCAGATGAGGAAGAGAGAGAAGATGGGACCACAGGGAGTAAGGACCTGAGGCACAGTGTGTGTGGGAGCGAGTGGAGGGGGGAGTAGACGGGCTAGGCCAGCGGGGTGCCCAAGGCCAAAGTGATGGTGCTGACAGCTGCCCCTAAATTTTCACAGATCATGGCCATGTGCCCCACTTGTCCTAAGTCTGACATCTTCATGGCAGACTATTTATTTATCAGCTCAGAGTAACACTTGTGTCCTTTGCATTTGAATGCAGAACTACAGTTGTGAATTAGAGACAGCCATTGCCACGTCAGATTATTTTCTGAGCACTGAGGGTTTTCCCAGGGAGACCAGCCCATGTGGGCCCAGTGCCAGGTGCTAGGACTCAGTGAAGGACAGACAGTCCTGGCCTTTGTCCTTCTGGGCTGATGGTCTTGTGGAGAAGACAGAGGCACATATCAAGCAATGATAGAGGAAGCTACCATTGCCAGGCGAGACAGCATTGAGGTATAAACCTAGGGCACTGTGTTGGTCTTTTGTTGTTGTTGTTGTTGCTATGACAAAATACTTTGGGCAGGTTAATTTTATTACAAAGAAGTTTATAGCTCACAGTTCTGGACAAATGTTGAAAGCCCAAATGGTACCCTGGCTGTGTTGTTTCATACCCATGGCAATGGAGAGAATGTATACAGAGGATAAGAGCACAGCTGGCAAACAAGAAGCCAGACAGACTGGGGTCCCATAGGCTCTTCCAGGAGCACCCTGATGACCTAAGGACTCCTCATTAGGTGCCACCTTGCAAAGGTGTCCCTATTCCCACCACACAGAGGACTGACCCTTCCGTGAAACCCTCAGGACAAACCACACTGAACAGTGAGTGGCTTCCAGAGCCAAGAGCTGCCAGACGTCTGCTGAGACATGGAACCTGCCTGTGGTCCGATGGCACAGGGTCACTGGGAAGGACAATCTGGCTGGACTGACCCAGGTGGACCCAGCTTTGGACAGGGGACAAAAGGAAAGGAAGTAAAGAGATGGAGTCCGTGTATGGAAACTGCTTCCCAAACACTGTCCAGGAAGTCATATATAGAGAGGTACAGCTTCAGAGGGATGGGGGTCCAGAGAAAGCTGCTCGCTGTTGCTGCAGATGTCTGAGTACGTTTCCATGTAAGAAAAGCAATCCAGGGAGACAGGAGTCACCGAGGACTGGTTAGGGAGGTCTGGGCAGGTGTGTGGTGCAGGTGCAGGAAGTGGCCCTGGACGGCTGGAAGGTCACCTCCTATCCTGTGGAGGAGGAGGAGATGATGTAGCAACAGCCGAGAGGCTGAGCCTGGAGCGGCCCAGTGGGTAACAGAAAGCAGGCTGGAGCTTGGCACCGCTGCCCTCTTTTCTGTACGTATCAGTTTATCACCTGAAAATTCTGGGTCTGATCTGGCTGTGCGCTGGGCATGGACATGTTGGTCACCTAAGGAGCTGGTTTGTCTAAAAACCAGCAACACAAGGTGTATTAGCTCTAAATGTACCTAGCCTACCTCACCTTCCTTCAAAACCGAGGATGGGAGCAACTGATGTTTAGGATTTGCAGGGATGTCCAGCTGAGAGCTTTCACAGAGGCATGCCTAGACTTCTCCTGTGTTTGTCCTAACCCTCCAGCTAGATTCCAGGAAAAGCAGAGCCTCACAGACACCTTGTGGTGACAGCACTCCCCCCTCCAAACAATTATACCCCAAAGAAGGAGCTATTATCTCACTAAGGGAGCTGGATTTTCCCCTCAAGTGATAATAGGTCTCCCAGGACTTTACAGAACTAGTCCTGAGATATCGATCAACTGGGCCTTTAGTAAGCCAGCCGATATGCAGTCTCTAACCCTGGCCTTTGCTCCCCTTTTCTTTTAAACCCCAAAGTCCTGCAGGCCCCAAGAACATAGATCATGAGCCTCTGTATCTGTCCTCCCAGCCTGGCTGTGCAGATTAAAGCACAACTGCTACCCCGCCCCATTGTTTGCCCCTCAGCTGGTGTTCTGGGGCAGGTGGGCCGTCTGCTGTGTTGGAGTCTCTGAGCTGAGAGATCTGCCCTGAAACTAGGGTAACACTGACCCGAAGTCTGACCCGAAGAGCTTGCAGGTTTGGTGGCTGCAAGTTGGAGAATTTGGTTGCTTTCAATTTTCTTCATGAAGTCATCTGCTGGAAGTGAGTGAGTGAGTGAGTGTGTGTGTGTGTGTGTGTGTGTGTGTAACAGCTCCTAAGGGTCAGCTGAGGTGAGGGAGGAGGCATTCCTGGCTTGATCCCTTGTCCTGTGGTCCAACCGTGTGTCAGTGGGTGGAGTGGGTGGAGGAAGGTGTGAGACTCAGGTCTGGTCAAGGGGCATGGCTAGGGGCAGGCTGAGATGAGAGGGCAGCAGACCAGGGAGTTTACAATCCAGGCGGAAGCTGATCCCACCATCCACCCACCGTCCAGGGGGCTCAGCTGACCCCAAAAGTGAGGGCAAATGACAGAAGGTTCCAGGAAGGGAAAATGACATCAAGAGAACTGTCCCTTGGATACCAAATGACCATGAAAAAAAGCAAACACAGCCGTTATTTCTCACAAATCCATTGGCAGTGTCGTTGCTTAGAGCTGGAACTGTGTTACAGTAACTGCTGGCATAGGGAAGCCTTGCTTCCTTGAACAGAACCTACAGCTACATGGAATCCATCATCTTAGGGCTGTGTGTGTACAGATACATTTCTCTCTGGCGAGCACTATTTATGCCAGGTGGTAGCGCAGGGTATTCTGAGGTGCCATTGCCACATCAGCATATCACATAACTAACAAATGCTTTCAGATAATGAGAAGAATGGAGATGGGGCAGGGCAAACAAGAACAGAAATGAGATTTATTCTCCGAACCCAGTTGTGGGAATTCAGACAACAAGGTTTAAAATAACTCTTCCACCAGGAAGAGCCCAGGGCCAGATGGCATCTGAACTCAGCTTCCCGCTCCTCTTACCAGATCTGTTTATTCCGACAGGCAAGGGCCAGCATTGGGTTCAAAGCTGAGGAGGAAAGCGGCTGTGGGCGTGCTGGCACAGTAGGTTTCACGAGTACGCTTTCTTCTTCTGCCCTTGGATGCTTACTATATTTATCTTAGGCAGAGTCAAGTGTTTTCCTTCTTTTTCTTTTTGCCTTTAAAATAACATCTCTTTAGGCTGGGTGTGGCAGCACATGCTTGGAGTCCCACAGTACCCAAGAGGCTAAGGCAGGAGGATCTCTGCAAGTTCAAGGGCAGCCTGGACTCTGAAGTACATTCAAGGCTAGCCTGAACTACATAGTGAGACCATGTCTCAAAAAATAAAATAATATCCAGTGCAACACAATGCAATCTACAGAAATGCTCCGGGAACAGGACACAGAGTTTGGGAGGTGCTTAGGGATCACATCTAACCTCCACTTCCAGCGAGAAATTTCTCCAAGCCCAAAGGTAGGAACTTAGCCAACTGACAGATTACGGGGACAAAAATCTAATCTTCTGCTCAAATTTTTCATATGGTGTCATCAGTGGGAGAAGAAAGGAAGACCAGAGAGCCGGCCCATGCCAGCCTCACAGAACTGGCCCATGGGAAGAGAGGCAGAGCGCCTTTTCAGGCTGGGAAAGCAGCTGTACGGGCGACCTGGCTCCTCCAATGCTGGGAGATGACACATGAGCAGCCGCTCTGAGTGGCGTGCACACCAGGAGTGACACTCAGGAATGGGTGCTAAGAGCCAGCTTCCCAATGGGTTATGCGCCATGGCCAAGGGCACAGAGACGCTGTGACCACCTCAAAATGGACCAGGTGTGGCTCTGTCATGTGATGCCCACTCTTCAAAGCAGCAGTCAAAACCTCCACTCCTCTGCTTCTGTGTGTACAGCTTCACTCCTGCACAATCACACACACATCATCAGCTAGGTTTGCTTCTCATATAAAGGACGGCACTGGGGCACCCACATCAGCGCATTCCGAATCGGCCTGTAAATCAGTTAACATTGTACCCACGTTGACTTCCTGATTTTGGCTATTATACTTGGCTTAGGTGAGAAGGTGTCTTCATGCTTAGGAAACACACAGAAGGAGGCAGAGGTAAAGTGACATCTTGTTTGGAACTCGCTCTCAGGTTAGAACAAAAGAAGAGGTGTGGGGAGGAAGGGAGAGAGAGAAAGGGGGGTGAGGGGAAGAGAGACAGAAAATGTGGTAAAATATCAACATTTGAGGGACACAAGTAAAGAGTGAATGAGAACTTTCTTCCACTCTTGCAACTTTTCTGTAAATCTGAAATTATGTTAAAATAGAAAGAGAGAAAAACACATGCTGCGAACCCCAGGCCAGTTGAAGAAGAGCACCCCACACCACAGGGCGATGACGATGCCACCTGTCACACCCTGTGTGCACCTTGCCGGGAGGCGCCTGGGAGCTCTGACGGACACACGGGCCATAGTTACCTGAGCTATGACGTCTGAGATTGAGGCACATCCCACCAGGAAGCTGTATTTGTGTTTTAAGAGAATGCCAGCATGGGTCCACGCCTGCCGGAAAAGGAAAGAATTTGCCATGAGATGCGCTGTTGGGATTATGTTTTTGTTGTTGTTGTTGTTGTTGTGAGTGACCGAGCCTCCCTGAAACACACTGCACACCTCCAAAAGTCTGGGCGGCACGGGGCTGGGAAGTCTGTGACTTGGACTGATGGTTAGCTCTGAGGATTTTTAAGTGGAAGGAGTGACTCAGGTTTTATATCTTTATTCAGTAGCAACACATAGATACAGATATGCAACACTCTCTATCTCTCTCTCTCTCTCTCCTTAGGTTTGTGAGCCTAGCACAGGGCTGGATAAACAGCAAGAGGAGAGAACCAGGACGGCTCCTGGAGCAGCCTACATAGCACCAAAGTAGCTCCTCCTTCTAGGAAGAGCATCACAGGAGAGCTCCAACCCTGGTCCTGACTTGTCACATCATCAGAGGTTCTAGGGACCCATTAGGGTTCTACTTTCCTGTCCTCCAAGTTTGGGCAGGATCCGACCCGGCATTCTGTGTCTTTGAGGAAGATCCTACCACAGGATAAGGCAGCTTCAAGCTTAGGGCAGAGCAGGGTGGGGAGGTCTGATGCTCACAGTGGGGTCCAGTAACAGGGTCCCTTCTTGCCTCTAAAGAAACATGTGGGGGCTGGGGATTTAGCTCAGCAGCATAAGCACCTGCCTTGCAAGCAGGTGGTCTTGAGTTTGATCCCCGGTACCGATAAAAAGTTAAAAAAAAATAAAAAATAAAGAAACATGTGGATGGACCCAGAAAAAACACTGCATGGGAGTCAAGCGTGATCAGACAGTCAGCTGCCCAGGCTCCTGCCAAGACTTCTTACAGCAGCTGCTCTTCTTCCTCCTTGCTCAGCTCAGGGTCCCAAGGAGCCCAGGGCTAAAAGAGCTGTGATCAGCACCTGATGGGCTCTCTTTGCTGTCTAAAAACCACCTGGATAACAAGCCCTGTGGCGTCCTCTCCAGCCAGTGTATCGGGCATGTGTGCATGTGGGGACAGAGAACTCATGCTTTATAAATGTTCATTATCTTGTTTTCATTAGCAGTGTCTTCTGTTAAATTGTATTAGTGTCTTGGGGAGAATTTATAGATAAGACATGGAAGAGAAGGATACCAACTACAAATGCTCTAGTGCTAGACAGGGTGCGTGTCCATTATCTGAAATGCTTAGGAATTAAATTTCTGAATTTGGATATTTTTATTTCTATTTTAACAATATGTGCACATATAAAATGATTTGGGTTTGGACCCAAATCTAGACCCAAGACTCATTTATGTTTCACATACACCTTACACACATACCCTGAAGATAATTTCATATAATCTTTGAAATGATTTGTGCATGAAACAGGGTTTTACACCTGAGGTGGAGTACGGAATTCTCCAGTTATTGTGTCACGTTGATGCTGAAGAAGTCTGGATTCTGGAACCTTTAAGCTGTTGGATTTTTGGAATCGGGAGGCTGAGTTTGTTCAGTGATTTACAAACTCTTTCATGGCAAACAAAAAACCCAAAGGGCAGCGGGAGACAGGAATCTACGATCACTCTTCCTAACTGTCCAGGCTCCCAGAACCCAGTGAGTGGCTGCTCGTATTTCTGTGTTTGGTTCCCACTTCCCCTTTGCAGGGAGGACAAAGCGATGCTCTGGACTCAGTCTCAGGAGTCAGACCCAACTCTGGACGTCAGGGTGTGGAGGGTAAGGAGGTTCCCCAGTAAATAGACCTAAACTCTGTCCTTGTAAGCCAGTCAGGGTGGGACACGGGCTCCTCCAACTGTGATCTCTTTGCCATTTTTGGTTTCCTTAGTCACCCACATCATGGACAAGAGGAAACATACCTGGTGACAAGAAAAAGGTGCGGGTCTTCAGGTGACCCAATTAACCCCCCGCCAGGGACCTGATAGCAATGAAGAACACAAACATTCAGGTCCCAGCTAGCAGGCTAACGTGTAAGGCTGCAGACCTGCAGAGAGCTGGCAGAGTCCAGCAGCTCACACCAGTCATGGGACTGTCGGCCAGCCGAGGCCCCTGATGACCTCTGACAGAGCTGACTGTATCTCTTTCCTCTCAGGATGTGAGGCTGCACCCTCACCCCAATGCAGGAGGTCCCACCAACCTCTGCATCTAATGCATGTGAAACCTGGAGTAGGGAATGGACAAAAATAATATGCAGAATAACGAGTTTTAAAATCTCCTTCCAAACTGATTTAAAGTGGAACCCAAAGGAAGGGTTCACTTTCCAGTGTTGGACATTACTGGGGATATATGCTTTTCCAATAATATAGCTCTGCGGGAAGGGGTCAATCCCTAGTACTGAAGGGGAGGTGACATCTTCAGTGTCAATGCAAAGAATTACTTATGTGAGTGATTATTAGCTCACGTAGTTATTACGGTAATGAAATCCTATCAGAATGTTCAAGAGATTCTTATTCCAAAACTTTAGGTGCGCAGGCCACGTAAGTGGTAAGTTTATCAGGAAGCTATTCTCTACTCGATCCTGAAAGAAATCACGTTCTTGCTGCCTTCTAGAAATTGTGGCAAATATAGATGAGCCTCATAAAATAAACTGAGAAATGGACTGGTCAAAAGCCAAGGAAAGCAGGATGATAGTACCTCAAAAATTAAAGATGGGTTAGGGGTACAGTGCAATGGCGGAATGTATGCTTTGCATGTCTGGTTCAATATACAATGCCAGGGAAAAATTTAAAAATAGAGTTACCATATGATATAACAATCCAATTCCTGATAATATGCCCCAAAGAACTGAAATGTCGAGACTCAAAAGTGGCATTTGCAGCTGGACATGGCCAAATAACCTGTAATCCCAGCTATAATTCCCATTTGGGAGATGGGGCAAAAGGAACTCAAGTTCGAGGCTAGCCTGGGCAAACTAACATAACTTGCCTTGCAATAAAAGATATACATAAAAGGGCTAGTGATACAGCTCAATGCTTCCTGGGTTCAACCCTCCGCACTGAAAAAAAATTTACTCATACACCCGTATTTATAGCAAGGGTCACATTCACAGAGACAGAAAGTAGAATGGTTGTGTCCAGCGGCTGGCAAAGGGAACAGGGGTGACCATATGGAGTGGGTACAGAACCCCAGTTTTGCAAGGTAGAAAGAACTCTGAAAACTATAGGAAAATAGGGATGTTCTTCCTGCCACCAAACTGTCCACATAAAAATGGTTTAGACGGTAACTTTGATGTGATGTATATTTTACCACAAACAAGAAAAATGCCAAAGATTTCCTCTACTTACCATGGCATCCATAAAAGGGAAGGCAGCGAGATAGAGGAAGGCCCTTCTTGTCTTACTCCCCACCGACTCGTCCACATGGTGCAGCTTATTGATAATGTAGTAACCTAAATCACTATAAGCTGCAAAGGGTCAAAAACACATAGCGATGTTTAGGAAACAGGTATTTAAAAATGCTTTGCACCTGAAAATGCAGAAACAATTTAAATGTAATATTTATTTTCAGTGGAAAAAATTATAGGGGAATCATCTAAGATCTTGTGATCCCTGAGAGGATCATGGCTAACACCCTGGGTTCTAATCATCCAGGTCTTTCGTGGGCAAGTGGATTAATATAAAACGGGGTCATCTACAAATGCTCCTGTAAACCATGAACATCTTTCTGTGACACGTTCACCTTTTGTATGCTTCTATTTCTTAATTCATTCAACTGCTCTTTTGTAGGTTAACTTGGTATCACCATGTTCACTCTCCTTTTGTTGCATGTTTACATCATTTTAATATTATAAGAGAATGCTTACGGGATAATTTTGAAGCTAAATGTTTACATACACTAGTTGTTTACTGACACAAAATTTCCAGATGTTAACAAGTGTTTTCAATTCACGTTTTAAAGTTAGCTTTTTAAGCTATCCAGTCTTTCTACTTCACTTCTTGGAGGAAGGTGGCAGCTTTGGGTATAGTTGGCACAGGACTATGGGTACAGTGCTGGGCAGTGGAAGGTGACCTCCGGGAGGTGCTTTGGGAGTCCCTCCTCTGGGAAGATTTGTCACAGTGTGTGACTAGGACCCAACAGGTACTCACAACTGTGGGCTTTCCCAGCAGGAACACTGGGGAGGTCCCCCCAGTACACGGCAGGGATCCTGACAAACACATTAACACAGGCTGAACGTAGTATTGAGCATCCTTTGACCTCACTGATATCGGGAGAACTGCACACGGGAATACCAATGTCTGTGTTTTTGCATGTTTTACACGTGCTCTGGAAGTGAGTTTCTGCTGTTTTCTCTCTCTCATAATGAGCAGTAGTAACACACTTGACAACCAAAGAGGCAAAGTACAGACAGTCTCAGTTATGTGAGACAGCAACCCCCTATGTGTCAAATACTTATCAAATACTTATTACCACTTTAACTGGTAAAGAGAATTAATGCTCCATTCTCCGCCAGGATTAGTCTTGGATTACAGGATTTTTTTTTTGAGACAAGGTCTTCCTATGTAGTTCCAGTTGGCCTTGAATTCACTATGAAGCCAAGGTTGGCCATGACTTCTTGGTGACCCTCCTGCCTCAGCCTCCCAAGTTTCTGTGCTGGGATAAGCCATGTGCTCCATCACACTTCGCTTTTGAATAATGGGAATTTTGGAGTAAATGAGGTCTTGGGGCTGATGTCCTGGACATTGCGGTGTACAGAACTGCAGGGGCAGGCAGATCATTTCAAGGGGTAGGAAGCTGGTATGGTTATGATTCCCAGAGAGCCAGGTTGGTTGGGTGGGGGTGAGGCAGATGAAAAGCTGTGTGTCCTCCACGGAGGCTGGGGGGAAACCAGGAAAGAGAAAAGGTTTGGAAATGGTTTTAGGAACAGCAAGGGACGAGAAGAAAGGAGGCGTCTGTGACAGGTGTGTCATTCAGAACAGGAGTCCACAGAGGTGACGGCCAATAGAGGAGGCTTGTCCTTGGCCTCAGAAGGCCACCAGGGAGAGCCTTGGACTGGGTCAGGCAAGGAAAGGGGTGCAATCAGACCAGCACTCAGCTGGCTGAGCCGTGAAGCCAGGGTGAAGGTGTCACCCAAGCACCTGGCAGCTTTGGGCACCGGCTATGCAAATCTGGTCTCAAAGTCTCTCGGCAGCACTGCTTATCTGCCCATCTGTTCCACGAACCAACACAAATTCACTGTGCAGGGAACCACGAGGACCCAGCTAACTCTCTGTCCCCACCTATAAAGAGCAGCTGTGCCGGCAAGCAGGGCAGGGCAACACCAAGGCCGAGGACACAGGGCTGCCGCGGAAAGCTCCAGAGCTTCCTGGACATGCTACAGCCCATACATAAGGCCAGACAAGCAACTCTGACTATGGTGGCTAAAGCCGGTGACGGAGGGACAGGGGCAAGGCTGAGACCTGGAAGGGCAGTGCTGTGGGCTGAACTATGTCTTTAGATCTCTAAGTCCTACCTCCTAGACCTCAGCGTGTGACCTTCCATAGCTGCAGCCACCGTTAGTTACAGTGAGGTCATACTCCAGCAGGGTGGACTGGTGCCCTTCTAAAAAGCAGAGACTGGGGTACACAGATAGACGCACACAGGGAGACCTCCATGCAAGGATGAAGGCAGAGACTGTGATGCTTCACATGCCAAAGGATGCCACAGCCTGCCAGCAGACCCCCAGGTCCAGGGAAGAGGAACAGGACAGATTCTCCTCCACAGTCCTCGAAGGGCACTAACTCCACCTGCCCCTGGATCTTAGACTTGCAGCTTGCAGAACTGTGAGGTTCTGTTGCTTCAGCTACCTGGTTTGTGGCACAGTTTGAGTACAGATGAGTACAGTTCAGAGAGAGAATTATTTTCATGGTAGACTCTGGAATGACAGGGAAAAGTTGGGATGCACGGTTTGAGTGGTTGGGAGCAGAGCTTGTGGTGTGCATGTGTTGCCTGGGAATGGATCTGCAGAAGGAAGCCTCTCTGTCTACTGTAAGGAGAGCTTTCAGCTAAAGCATCACAAGGGTGCCTTTATGTAGCCTGTAAAGCTTAGTGGGGCCCAAGGACTGCTGGGTTCCTGATCCTTTCTCCTTGGGCAGAGCCAGCCACTCTCTCTGCCTCTGGGAGCAGGTGGGGAGCTACCCTTGTCCTTCTCAGGGCTGCTGCTCCAGGGGCTGGGGCACAGCGGGGCTTCAGGGCTCCAGCCTGCTCTTGCTTCCTGTTACTTCTTTTTGTTATAGGCTCTTGCTCTCTCAGCTATTAAGAGTGACATGGAGGCCAAAGATGCAAGCTTCCCCTCCCAGATTTTCTTCCCGCTACTCTCACATGGCAAGCAGGAGTCCGATCATAACTGCAGGTCCTCCACCCTGGCAGTGGGCGGTGAAATTCCAGCACCTGTTTTCACCCATCTCTCCACCCGTTGACTAAGTCCCTCCATGTGGGAACCCCGAGCTATTTCCAGCTAGACCTGCTGGGGTTGGCTGGGGTGATTTTTTACTTAAAGTGCATTGCAGAGTCCATAATTATCAGACACTCTGCCTTCAGCAATGTGTAGTAATTTCCATTTCTATCAGCTGCCTTACGGAGATTGTCCTGAAACAACCTGTATCCCTTAGGAACGGCAGAAAGTTATAAAACAAAATTAAACCAGGTTTGAATGCAGGTCTTACAATACTACAACAGCAAGAGGATGCTCAGCCCTACAAGCCCAGGATGATCTCAGCCAGTCAGGCTAAGGGCCCTTTTTGGAATCAGGGATTCTCAAAGCTGCTTATCCAGTAGCTATACAGCATATATTGCAAACCAATAAATACTAATCAAAACAAGTCTAGATACATATATTTTCCAATAGGAACTGAGGAAAAGCCCAGCATTAGAACCAGAATAATACATGTGTATCCAAGACACAAACTATTTATTTATTTATTTATTTAGAGACAAGGCTTTGCTTGATAGTTCAGAGTAGTCTTAGACTCATTATGGAACTCAAGCTGGCCTTAAACTTGACTGTCTGCCAGGCTTCTCTTTTAAACTTCTTATTCCTGGGTTACAAACCAGCCCTGTAAAGCATAAATGGGTCCAATTTGACATCACTGCCACCGAGAGTGCTAGGAATGAGTCCTCCTGCCTCAGCTTCCTGAATGATAGGATTACAAGCTGTACCACAGCACCTGGCCCAAGATGCAAATTTTAGAACCTTTATTCTTATCCAAATTCCCAAGTTATCAAAGCTTAGAAGTATCACCAGTACTGTTTACGGCCCTGCTGAGTCCCATTGATGAGGATTTCGGGAGGAGCAGACAACTTGATCCCTAGGTTTCTAATGTGTATGTCTGCTTCTAGAGCAGCAAGGCCATATCTGAATTACTTCAACAAGTGCTGAATGATTTGTGTGACATACTGTACCAATCAGACCAGTGGTGACGGCCACAGCTTCCTATACAAAGATAGGGGCACTGACTTTGGACTCAGCTATGATCTGTGCTGGCAACATCTGTCTGGAAGACATAGCCGTGGGAGGTGCCAACATGGCTTAAGCCAAGGAGAGCTACCTCAAACCCACGCATGAAATAGTAAGAGAAATGTGAAATTTTAAGACAGGATCAAAACTTTAACTTTGGGCATTAGGACCTGGTAGAGGAAGGCTCACAGTAATTTGGTGCAGGCAACTGAAACACTAGACAACAGGTCTCATCCACATCTGGATACCCAGGATTTAAGCCCACGGTGACCACAGAGTAGGTAAATAGATGATAAAAACTGGTGGAATAAATGAAGGGCACAAATCCATGACCCTTCAAAGAAGCAAGTGGGGTAGACTGAGAGCAAAAATGTCCCCATTCATCCACACTCTCTATGTCTCTACTCTTTAGGATTCTGCAGTTCTTCCTGTGAAGTTCAAGCTCACGTCCCTAGCCCTTGGGCCTGGGCTGGGCTGGAGTCCGCTCTGGTCAGTCGGGCACAATGGCAGTGGTGATGCAGCTTCAGTTCTCGGTCTTGAGAGCCCTTGTGTGCCCCTACCCTTCTACGTGGAGTCTGGCCACACTGAAGGGTCGCCACAGCGACCCAAAGTCTCTACTGGAGCACACAGATTATATTCAACAGAGCTCAGCTGGCCCAGAAGGGCCACCTGGGCTGACTGTTCCATGGAGCCCGTCAAGATCATGAGAGCCATCTCCTGGCCTTCAACTGGCCACAGAGACAGGAGCCCAGTCAAGTTCAAAAGCACCAAGCCAATTTGTGTTTGGGCGAACAAAAACAAATGCTTGTGTTTTGAGCCGATAAATTCTGGAGAGTTTGTAAGATAACAAATTGTGAAGCTCTACTGAATGTGTTCATTCCTAGCACTCTTGGTGGCAATGATGTCAAATTGGACCCATTTACACTTTACAGGGCTGGTTTGTAACCCAGGAATAAGAAGTTTAAAAGAGAAGGCTGGCAGACAGAACCAGCCGAGAAATCACTACACCTGCCCACTGTGGGACCGGCAGAAGCTCACTTCCCCCGAGCTCTGCTGATGGCCCAGGCTGCTTCAAAGCATGGAAGAGGCCAGGCTGTAGATGGCAAAGAATGGGCAGGAACTTTGGGGCTAGTGAATCTTCTAGACTTCAAATTAGCCAAATCCAACACAGTCCCAAGTATCTATGTTTCCTATCAATACTGAAAAGTACGAAGAACTCATGCTCAACCAGACTGGGAGGAAAAATCTAAACTAGAGATCACACTGGTAACCAGGGTTTTTCCTAGAGATACTACAGAATACTCAATCTTTGAAGGAAGCCTAAGACCGTCCATCCAAGGCACTGGGAATTATAAAATACAGCAATTTTCTTTTTCTAACTAGAAAACAGTTCCTTCAGAAACTATGAGATTATAAAGATACTGGTTAAAATGCTATCAAACACACACGAACACTGGCATAAATCTGCCTTACTCAATCTGATTGACTCCGAGATGTCACAAAAAATAACCACTGGGGTCAGAATCTGTGAGGAACCCTTCAGACAGATGCAGGCACACCATGATGACACTCTCCTGGCCGCCCTCCTCTCTCTTACCTCCCTGTCCCTTCCCTCTCTTCTTAGGCTTTCCATGTGGTCAGCAGAGCTCTCTGTAGTCTCAGGCTCCACGGTGAGCACCCACACGGTCCCCTCAGCTACGTCTACTCAGGGAGGAGGGCTTATCTCGCTGCCACCTCTGTGGATCCATCTCTCTGCTATTCCCAACTCTGAGTAACAGGACCTGGAATCACAGGCACGTACTGCTTGATCCGCACATATTTTGTTGGGCCCGCTCTACAGGACAAGCGGGGACTGGATTATTTCAAAAGCAAATGACACCCAGGGCAATTCTGACTCTCACTTCTGTGGTCCTTACAGGATAATTTATGGTAAAAAAGCTCCCAAAATTTAAAGCAGGAAAATGAGCCCTAAATACTAATGATGGATCTTTGCACAGTGAAAATGGCTCACATTCATCTTTAGCAATACCTGATGGAGAAGCATGAATTTTATCAGACTGGGAATATCTAAAAAGAGAAATACATTCATTAAATGCCCAAAAGGCATCATGTTGGGGGAAAGTAAGTAATATCTTAAAAACAAAGAAATGGGTAATGTAGAAAGGACAGCAAAAAGAAGCATGGAATTGGTCATTAAAGTGAAAAAAGACACCACGGTAGTGCTAAACCAGGAGTCTGATGCCAGACAGGAGAGATGCACTAGGCAAGAAGAGTGACCACTAGAAATGTCATATGGATACAGTGAAAATTAAAAAAACTTTTTTTTTGGTGGCATGAAGGAACACAGGCACAAACTCAAATTGCTGGGCTACATCCCCAGCCCTAGCAAAATATTAATTTAGAGGACCAGGTCAAATTCTGGACTTTACTATATAGAGAAGATTAGGCAAAAATTAAGGGCGGGGTTGTGTGAGATACAAACATGCTTTCAGAGCCAGTCCACCCACCCAGCCTTTCAGCATCAACACACAAAAGAACTTTCTCCTGCTCTATCATTGCACGGGTTCTTCCTTAAATGCCATTTTTAAAAAAAATGAGAGGAACTTGAGCAAAGGAAATAAATTCATTAAGGCCATCGGGAAATAGCACCCAGTTAAGTTTTTATGGCAACTGAATCAGTTTGGTCTGAAAAAGGAACAGAGAGAAATGAAGTGGAAACCAGGTTTCTCTGGAGCATTATATCCACTGTGCGGATGAGGTCTGATGACCAGGCAGTCTGTCATCATTGCCGATGGTGGGCCGCTCACGCATGGGACGCGTGCTCCCCTCGACGGCAGCTGAGGCCATAATGCGGCCTCTCCAGGCCAGCACGTCTGGAGTATCTGTGTTTCAGCTCCGTCAGTGTCAGAGCATCGCTGCCACAGCACCGTCATCCCAGAGCTGAGGGCTAAAGCCAAAGGCACACAGCTGCTGCCAGCGGCACTAACAAGTGGACCTGGGTGTAAGTGTCCACTGCAGGTGACACAGGAAGCAGCAAGTGCTTTTGGTGGGGAAATGGCCACTGATGTCCGACAATGGTCCCTCATCACTGAGCTGTGGCTGAGATTAAGGAGAACAAAGGCTGGTTTCTTCTCTAGGAGAAACTCTAAATAACGGAAAGAACACAATAAGAGACAGATGGGAGGCAATGCGAAGGCAGATTTCATGGAGCTGGGAAGGGACCTGGGGAAGACAGGAGATGGGAGAGGGCGGGAGAGGAGAGAAGGGGGAGCAGGGAGATGCTAGATGTGAACACACGGGCTCCCCAGCCTGCACGTCTTCTCATAGATCGCAAAGCTTCACCAACAATTAAAAAAAAGAACGGGCACCATCTCACCGCTCAGTGCAAACGGAGGAGGGAGGAGAACAAAGCTCAGGGTGCTGCGGAGAGCAGGAAACAAGACAGGTTGAACTGTTGGGAGGCCAGTGAAGAAGAGAGGGAGAAATCCTTCCAGTTTGTGTGTTGGGTGTTTAAAAGAAATCGAGATGCGTTTTCTTTGTGACTGAAGAAAGCAGTTGTTTAATACATGGAAAGAAACTTTAATTGCAAAAAGTATCATATGTGATAAAAATAATTAAATGTAACTGGAATGTAGAACCCTTTTGGTTTACTGTAAGCTTTTGTGGTTCTACTTTAAAATAGAAAAATTTCAATTTAACTTGGAAAGTGACATTGATTTGTAGTTCAGTGGCCACAGTTTCAGTAACACAGTGTGTTCAGTTTTTCTCTCACGCAGTTACTGACAGCTAGTAATTACCTATTCAAGCCCAGCTAACAGAGGGAGTTTGCATTTATTTAGCGGTCTAAGTAAAAAGAGGAGGTGCAAAAGAGAAATAACTTGCCAATTTAGATGCATCTTTTACCCTAAAGATGGATGGGATTTCCTGAATACACATTCCATCTTTGGAAATGGCCTAGATCAAATCTAGCAGCAGAAACTGTCTTTGAAAACTCATGGTTAGATTTGAGGGAAAGAAGGGAATCTGTCTCTACCTACCCATACCCTGAGGCTCCGAGCACAAATGAATGAAATGATCGATTTCAATCCTCTGGCTGGATAATTGGTCCATCAGCAGACATGCTATCTTCCAAATCCTTCTTATGGAAGAACAAAATTCTATTTTATGCTGAAAATGAAAGCCATACAAGGCTTTCCCTATTTGCTTTGAGACTCACAACTCTTTGAGTAAACACTAGCTGCCTTAGATTATACAGTAAGGCATTTGGGTTAATCTTCTGGTTGATTGTTTTTTAATTTAACCATTGACATTTATGCTTTTCTTACAAGCAGCAACAATCTTAAGGTAGTGCAGAGGGTTTACAAAGCAAGTTCAGCATTTTATGCAACTGGTTTTGGTAGATGTGTGACACAGGTTCTGAAATCACACTCCTGGGGTTTCAGGAACACCTTGGGGCTACGGGAAAACGGCCCCTAAGGAATCTGCCAGGTCTGTGAACCTGGAAGCTGCCGCTGTAAACATGATCTACCTTTCTTGTTTCACAGAAGAATGTCATGCCAAGAGTGTCTGTGATCTTGAATTTGAATAAAGCAGTATACAAAATTGTTTTTGAGACAGAGTCTCACTATGTGCAGTTCAGGCTGGCCTTGAGCTCACATTGTAGCCCAGGTTGGTCTCAAACTAGCACTGATCCTCCTGCCTCAGCCTCCTGAGTGCTGGAATTACAAGCATGCATCACCACATCTAGCTAAACAAATTTTGATCAATAAAATCATCTGCCATTTGTTCTCACCACTGATAAGCACTGATACCATTGTTCTACTTTATTCTCAACATAATGAGTTCGTGTAACACTGCAGGCCTGTCTCTAACAAAAGCACCTGTTATTTTGCCTACCTTATGGACTGCTATGGTATTTCCTGGTACAATCGCCTATTGATGAAATCACTCCCTCTCCTTCTCATGAATTAGGGACTGGAGACTATCACTTTGTAGAAAAATTACTTTGCATATTTTCCTGAACCAAGAACACCAGTTTCATTCCCTTCATCCTTTGAAATTTTCTTGAGAAACATTTGACAGTTCCCGAAGCAGTCTGTTATTCTGGTCAATATATTTAAGCTGATGAAGAGCAATCAGACACGTGCAAAGCTGGACACAGTCAGATGCTTACCGATGAGTGTGTGAAAGACGGCGGCGATGACTCCGGCCACCACCATGCACAGGACAGCTTTGGTCCTGTCCCGCTTGCTGTTCACGAACACCAGGCCCACGTTTTTAAAGTCACTCATGGGCCCCGTGAAGAACTTCATCAGGGAATACGCCAGCCCGTAGCTAGCCAGCATCTCCACTGCATCCTCCTTGACGGCAGCGATGCCCCGGTTCAAGGCCTGGCAGGGGAGAGAACCACAGTAACATTAGAAACGGCATCCCACCGTGGGGGTCAGGCCTCTAAAATAAAACCCAGTGGTGACGTTTCTAGAGAACCGCTAAGTGGGGCAGAGGGTAAATCGCACTGTCATTTGATAAAGCATATTGGTTTTCATTTTCATCCACATCAGCTTCAGTATGAGCACCTTTTTGTCAGGGGTGCACCTGACCATGATGGTTAAAGTAGCAGGAAAAAAAACCCCAAGTATTTTATATTAGTACCAGAAAAGAATTCTAAGGAGTTTTGGTTAAAAGCTGACTTTTTGAAAAAACTCAGTATTTGCAAATCTACATGATAGCAATAGATGCTCTGGAAGTGAACCAACAACTTTATATGGAGGGGGTGATGATTTTTTTCTTGAAAGAAGGAGCACTGAAGTGTATGTTTGAGTGTGCTTGAGTAACCTCAAACACCGTGCCTGTGTTCTTCGTGGTAAAGAGAGTTCTGTGCAGTTTAAAAGCCACTCATTATACATCGATGTATGCTATCCATCTGATTCGTGCTGTCTGCAGGCAATGCAGTCCTGAGCGCTCTGCACACAGATGCATGCACAGTATTTCTGCAGGATGCTCGTTTAGGATGCTGTGCTCACAGAAGATTCTGATCGCTTTAGCCCTCTGCAGAAGAGACCTTCTTAGCTGTAAGGTTCCAAACCACCTCTCCCACCCGGCAGACAAACATCACTGGAGATGCCAGAATGGGTTTCCGGGCAGCGAGAACTCCATGACTAAAACACCTCGGGAACACTGTCCTGTCTTATGGACAGGCCACTGAGCAGAGAAGCTGGCTTTCAGTATCTGGTATTCTTTAAAAAACAGGCTGTTTTTAAGAACAGTTTGAGTCAAATGGAATGGAAATTACAGATGTTCCCATTTGCCCTCTGCTCCCACCAACACCCAGCCTCACCTCCTGACTACCGACACTCCACACCAGAGTGGCCCATCACCCCATACCAGAGTGGCCCATTGTCACAACCGACCCACCTGCTTTGACACCTCCCTATCCCCAGTCTAGAGTTCGCCCCAGTGCTCATGCCTGGTGGGCGTGTACAGTCTATGAGTGTGAGAAATGCAGATGTCACAACCATCAGCCTAGTCACATTTTTAAAAAAAAACCTACACTGAGGTCTTTATCATTTCTCACTCTTCCAACAGACATGGTAACATTTATAAAACTCATAGCGGTCTCTATGGCATAAACTTGAAACAGAAGAAATGAAAGCTCTTGGTGGTTCTGTTGTTGAGGCAAATAGAGTCCACAATGTTCTCTACAAACATATACATCTAGTTCAGTTTTACTGAGTACTACCTGGCCATGCCCATTAAAGCTTATTTACACACCACTTAATGGGCAAATAGGCACATGAAAGAGAAAAGGCTGAATACATCGAATGAAGCCAACCAATCTTCAAATGTAATATTTAAGACTCATACTACATTATAATAAACCCAATCTACTGTCTCTCTGAATCAAAGAAAGCATCGACTATAAGGTATGTTATTAATTTGATACCATTACGGAATAAAAAAACATTTCTAGTTATAATTGGATCCAACTGTTGTAAGATATATCCAGATGGCAGAGATGCTAAAGTAAGTGTGTGTGTGTGTGTGTGTGTGTGTGTGTGTGTGTGTGTGTGTTAGGGTGGGGGTGGGGTGCAGTGTGCCTCAGAGTCTATGAAAGGAGCTATTTCATGTTACACTCAAAGTTATTCGTCAGATTCAAAGGCTGATGTGGGTTTTAGTTCCTAACAATACCATCAGCATGCTCAGCAGAGGCCCAGATCGGAATAATCAGCAAAACTCAAGGGCTTTAAATTCTTTGCCTATACTTTGTTTTATCCCTTTTCCTAGGAAATACAGCTGCCCGGCACAATGGCCACTCACAGAATTGAACATTCTTTGTGAAGCACTGTTAGAGGGGAAAACTGTGTAAAGGGAAATAGCACTGTGTAAAAGTGACTTTGAAAAAATCCAGAATGAAAATGTATGATAACTAGAAATTTACTGTCATCCTTCTGACAAGGTTGGATATAAGCTGATTCTGAACATTGTTTCTAATTATTTCTCGAATTTTCTTTTTCTTTCTTTCCAGTAATAACTTAAAAACTTCCGCAAGAGCCTTCTCAGCCTCTGCAGAGCGCTCCTGCCATACTTCTCCTAGAAATAAATTTTCTCTCCTACTGATGCTAATTAAGTACCTTAATGCTTGAAAACAAAATAAAAACCAAGAAATGCCCTGATAATAAATCCTCTTTTTGATATCTACATCTATTCCCACTCTGTGTCAAAAGTTAACATGTGATCATCCACCACTCTTTCAGACCTTCCCAGGTGGGGTTGGTGCCCCACCTGGAACTTAAGACCGGATAGTGCATGCCCAGCTGCTGGGAGGTGGCTACTAATGGCCACAGCTGTGTCCTCCTCAGGGCAAAGTCCCCAGCCACTCTGTGCGGGTGAAATACATCTGACTCCCACTTAGAGTCCAAGCCCTGGGAAGCCAATGGCTGGCTGGTGCAGGGTCTAAAGCAGGAGGTCCCCTGCCTGCACATGGGCCACTCTGCTACCTTTCACACTCAGGCGTCCCCACAGGACCAGGGGAAGCAGCCTCCAGCGGAGACCAAGCCTAGCTGAACTTCTCCCCGGGGCTCCATCTGGCTCCCTGGCTTCCCTGCTCATTAAACCCCAATACACAAGAATCCACACACACAGGCTTTGCTTCCAGAGAACTCAAGGGAGGACACTTTCCAATTAGTCGTCTCCCAGACACCAAGAACCTGTACAGCTTGATCTTTCTTTCTCCAAATGTGTGACTGTGAACTGTTTACTCATTTTTATTCCTCAAAAAAACATGTTAAAATTTAAACAATATACATTATTTAGCACAAGTTTCAGAAGCACCTGCTAGCACACTTAAATAATGTAGGACCAGACTGTTTTTTGTGTCTTCTTGGCAAAGCCTTGTTTTTGCTAAAAAGAGCCAGGTCCTGGCTGGGGAGCTACTGCAGTGTTTTCTATTTCCTGGATCTGGGTCCCAGCCCTAGGGCTGAGGCAGGTGGGAGGAGGAAGGGCGCGGGTAATGATAGTTCTAGCTGCAAGACTCCGTGAGAAAATTTCCTTTGGCTCGACGATTATGGTAATTTGAAGAAAAAGCAGAGGGTTCAGAGGCACCAGGCTTGAGCTCGGGTGGGCTTCCGTCACTCAGCTGCCCAGTGGGCCGAGGGACTCTGTGTTCCCTGAAGCAACCTGAGTGGTCCTAGACAGACAGGCAGGTGGCAGGCAGGGCACCAATCACCACCTGGCTTGGCAAGGTGCTGGAAGCAGGGACTTTTTCTGCTCACCACTGTACCCCAGCCACCCCACCCCACTGTAACACTGTGAGGGTCTGCAGAATGAGCACGCCAGTGAGCTGCACCTGCTGCTGGGAACTTTAATATTTGTCCTACTTTTTACAGACTTAAGAAAACTTTTAGTTATGAGGTGTTATTGCTTGCAAGGTGTAGCATGGATATAACACTTTAAATGACCATATTACATATACTCATTATTTGAAAACTCTATCCTGATGTCAAGACACAATAGAATGTAAGAAAAAGGCTTTAGAATTTTTGCTGCTTTCATGGCCTTGACCCTCACAGTCATCATTTGTAGCAAGCATTTCCCCCAGTTTGTCCGTGTCTGTTTCATTATTTTCTTTTGATACCATAAATATTATTATACCGTACTGATTATTTTATGGGGTTTGTTTCCACACTTTTAGGCTTTATCATTCTTACCAATCTAGACCTAGGATAGTCCTGCTCTAGATTATGGCTTCATTTGCACATTAACCTTTTTAATCTCAGTGGAATTTACCATCTGAGACATGGATCAAAATTAACTTCCTGCAAGTAGTTTCTTGTTTCAAAACTACTTAATGTATAAACCACTCAATGCTTATTGATTTGGGATGGATTCTTCCCGGTCCAGGTCCATAGTCTCTTACGTGTCCTTCGGTCACCTACTGTATGCGCCATCTGTCTCTATTTGCTCACCATAGTTTTCTTCAAAGCGTGGTCACCGCCTGTCATATTGCATGGGTACTTTCCTCCTCTACCTGAATGCTAAGTCCCAGGGAGCTGACCTATGTATCACTGCAACATCCCAGCCCTACAACATGGGAGATGAAAGACGAAAGGATGAAGTGAAAATGCCCAAGGCAGTACAAACATTTCCTACGATGTGCTCTGGAGAAAAGAAATACACCGACGAGCTGGATACCTCTGGGAGGGGCTTACTTAGACAGCTAAAGCAGTTCCACCACTCCCCCTGGAGCCAGCTGGATGAGGGGCAGGAGGCAGGCAGAGCCCTGCAGAAGGCGCTGGCTGGTGCTTAGCAAACAGCAGGAGTCAGGAAGAGATGTGGGCGTGAGGGAGAGGGTGAGGAGGCAGGGTGGCAAAAGCAGGCGATACCAGCATATTCCAGGCCGGGGGAAGAACCTGTCTTGTTCCATGATCAGCTGGAGTTCATGAAAGGTCCCGGGCAGAGGTGGGATAGAGGCTCTGGCAGCTGCAATGGTGGGAGTGGTCTGGCCAGCGAGGGGAGAAGCAGGAAGGTGGCAGTGCTGTGGAGCTGGGCACAGAGGCACAGGCCTGTAATCCCAGCACTCTTAAGAGATTTTGAGGAGGGAGGATCACAAGTTTGAGCCCTGTCTGGGCAACTTAAGAACTTAGGAGACCCTGTCTCAAAATAAACTACCAGTAGGCCAGGGATGTAGCTCAGTGTTAAGGCTCTGGGGTCATTCCAAACAAGAGCTCTATGAGGATCCAGGCCCAAGATGGCAGTGACTGGACCAGAGGAGGTAGAGGAGATGGACGATGGACTGATTGGCAAGCAGCCCTGGGATCCAGGGAAGGACTACATGGTTGGCTTGAGGGAAGGGAGGAATTGAGGGTGACGGAGAGTCAGTGGCCAAGTGGGG